TATCAACTTCAGAGTGTGGACATTAGAAGGGCTAGAAAATGGGTAGCTGGGAGGGACTGAAGGAAGGGAAGAGAGGGGGGAGTAATGTAAATCTATTTCAATTTCAACCAAAAATCAGTCAAAAAAGAATAGGACTCCAAGGGAAAATACAAAATCATACATTATGCTTCCCAAAGTCAGTGGAACTTATTAAGAGGCAATCAGACAAAGAAGCACAAAGCAGATCTAAAAGTTTCCACGAAAATTGAGCCCAAGCTGGTGAGATGGCTCAGTGATGTGAGTTCAGCTCCTCGAACTTACCTGATTAAAGAGAGAGCACAGTTCCAACAGGTGTCCTCTGACTGCCACATGCACACAATAAATAAATGAGAAAGAAAACAGCAGTGGCAACAACTAAGTTCACACTACATCTGAAAACACTGTAATGCACGAGCTGGCTTGTTTTTATATCAACTTGACAGAAGCTAGAGTTGTTTGAAAGAAGGGAGCCTCAACTGAGAAAATGTCTCCATGAAAATGGGCTGTAGGCAAGCCTGCAGCACATTTTCTTAGTTGGTAATTGATATAAGATGCCCAGCCATTGTGGGTGGGGGCATCCTGGGCTGGTGGTCCTGAGTTCTATAAGAAAGCAAGTTGAGCAAGCCAGAAGGAGCAAGGCATTATGTGTAGCAGGTTTTCTTGGACTGCCAACCCCCAAATCATTACACAAAGAATTATTATTAACTATGAAAAGCTTAGCTTAGCTTAGGCTTGTTTCTAACTAGCTCTTAAATCAATCCATTTCTATTAATCTATGTTCTTCCACGTGGCTCATGGCTGTTACCTCTCCTCCTGTACACCCTGCTTGTTATGGGTCTCCTCGTGTCTCCACCTTTCTTCTTCCCAGAGTCCTCTCTGTCCCTGTAAGTCCTGCCTAACCTCTTCCTGCCTAGCTAATGGCCATTCAGCTCTTTTTTTAAACCAATTAGAGGGCAAAGACACAACTTCACAATGTGAACAAATATTCTGCAACAAAGAAGCAGCACCCTCCATGGAGTCTGCATCAGCCTCTGCCTCCAAATTCCTGCCCTGTTTGAGTTCCTGCCCTGACTTCCCTCTGTGACTGTCACCTGGACACGTAAGACAGATTGAACCCTTTTCTCCCCAAGATGCTTTTGGTCATGGTCTTTATAACAGCAATAAAAACCCTAACTAAGACATATGCCTAGGATAGAACTTAGGGAAATATATGTAGTGAGAAAATAATTAGGGATGGGTGGGGCTGGAGAGATGGCTCAGCAGTTATGAACAAGTATTGTTCTCCAAGATGACCCCAGTTCTGCCTGTAGGACAGCTTACAGTGTCCTATAACACCAGCTCTAGGGGATCTAGCTTACTCTTCTGACCGCCACAGGACATATCCATGCAGCATACACTCACACACAATCATACCATTAAGACAAATTTCTTTGTTAAAAATTGGGGATTTGGGCAGGGGAGATGGCTCAGTGGTTGCTCTTCCAGAGGACCCAGGTTGAGTTCCCAGAACCCACATAGTAGCTCACAACTGTCCATAACTCCAGTTCCTGGGGATCCAACACCCTCATACAGATAAACTCACAGGCAAAAACACCAACATGCGTGAAATAAAATTTAATAATTTTTAATTGGGCATTTTTCAAGATTTGGGATTTCTACCTGCAAAAAGAAGCTTCATCAGCTGCCGCCACACCTCTAAACTGGTGATTTTAAATACTCAATGTTAAAAGTGAGCAACTGGGCTGGGGGTGTGGCTCATCTGGAGTGGTGCTCACCCGGCCTGCACAAAGCCCTGGGTTCGGCCCAGAATCACATAAACTGGGTGTGGTGGTGCACACCTTTAATCCTAGGACTCAGGAGGTAGAGGCAGGAGGATCAGGAGTCTGAGGAGTCCAATAGCTACACAGCCATTTCAGGGCCAAGCAGAGCCACATGAGACCCTGTGAACAAATACCTAAGATGTAGTGTTGGGGATTCAGTAGGGGCGTATTCAGATGTTCCCCTGTTTCATAAGCGGCTATCCCAAGGAACTGGACTACTTATCATCCTTGTGACAATGGTTCCATCTTTTTCAGATGAAGTTATTACTAGACAGAGCTGCCTTTGTTGTGTGTCTTCCACTTGAGAATGTCATGACAACAGAAACGGGCTACATGCATAAACTACAGGGGATATCTTCAAATTTTATGGCTCCTGGGGAAGTCACAAGCAAAAAGAGAGAGAGAAAACTAGAAGGAAATAAGAAGCGGTCTCCTTCAAAACAAAATAGAAACAACCTTAGCAGTACCTACATTACAGCCCACTGCAGGGAGACAGACCCCTCCTAAGCTGGTCAATGCAGCTACAAAGACAGGAGGGGGAGCTGCCAGCCCAGGGACTTGGTTTGCTTTGTTTTCTTAAGGATGAAGTAAAGAAAATGGTAGATACAGGTTGTAGCTCAGGTTCTGGTTTCAATCTCCCAGCATGTAAATTAAAATAAGTAGATATTTGTGGAGAGTATGGAGGTTAGGTGGGTTGGCAGGAAGGTGGCAGGTGAGAGTGACCAGTATGTCTGGAATATGTGTGAAATTGTAAATTAATTAATTAAAAATAAATGGCAGGGATAAAATTTCACACCAGGGACAAGAGCATGGCTTTGTGGTAGAGTGCTTGGCTGGAACTCTCTCTCTCTCTCTCTCTCTCTCTCTCTCTCTCTCTCTCTCTCTCTCTCTCTCATGCACACACACACACACACACACACAGTAGACAGGAAGTCTGTCCATACCAACACTAATTATGGAGGCAGGGAGATCAGGAGTTCAAGACCATCCCCAACTACAAAGCAAGCTCCACATGAGTCTGGTCAGAAAAATAAAAGTTCATAAGAACCTCTGCCACAACAGTAATCAAGAGTAAAACACTTATGTCAACAATTAAGAATAATCAACAAGTATGTTAAAGGCTGGTACCTGGGTGAGGCAAGAGAGGAATTCATGCAGGGAACCAGTGAGGTAGGAGGTGCACAGGCCATCAGGCCAAGCCCAGAGAGAGGGAGTGGCCCCTGACAAGGGGTCCTTGTCCCAGGGACACAGGCTCTCATTTTGGTTCCTCAGACAGTGAGGGAAGCAAGGCAGCCAGAAGGAGGTCAGAGGCAGCAGAGCAAGCACAACGCTTTCCACGATGTCGGGCGCCACCCAGAGGACAAAGGGAGAATTTTCCTCTGAGATGCTAACAACTCCCTTTGGTTTCAAGATTCAAGACACTAGGGGGCAGCTGAGCCTTTGGCATGACAAGGGAAAGAAGCCTTCCTGGCTGGGGTCACTGCAGGCTCTAGAGACAGCTTTCATGAGCAAGAGGTGCTGTGTGGGGCTGTTTCATCTTCCCCTGGCCTGAAGTGCCGGGAGGGGGGGTGGTGGTGGGGTGAGGGGGGGCAGAGGCTCCAGGTGAAAGAGACAGAGTGACTATGAATGGATATGAATGCACCCAGCAGGTGTATAGTACCAACACAAGTTAAAACAAAAAAAACCTGAGTATTCCAGGTGTGGAGCTGCATGCTTTTAAACCCCACTGTTCAGGAGGCAGAGGCAGGTAGATCTCTGTGAGTTCAAGGCTGGCCTGATCCAGAGTCACATGAGACTGTCACAAAAAAAAGAAAAAGGAAGGAAGGTAGGAAGGAGGAAAAAAGAAAAGGAACCAATCAAAAAGTGGGGTACAGAACTAAATAGAGAATTCTCAATAGAGGAGTCTAAAATGGCTGAGAGACACTTAAGAAAGTGCTCAACATGCCTAGCCATCCTGGAAATGCAAATCAAAACAACTCTGAGATACCATTTTACTCCTGTCAGAATGGCTAAAATCAAAAACACCAATGACAGCTTATGCTGGAGAGAATGTGGAGAAAGGGGAACACTTGTCCATTGATGGTGGGAGTGCCGACTTTGGAAATCAGTATGGATATTCCTCAGGAAAATGGGAATCAGTCTACCACAAGGCCCAGAAATTCCACTCTTAGGCATATACCCAAAAGATGTACATTCATACAAGGATATTTGTTTCACTATGTTCATAGCAGCATTATATGTAATAGCCAGAACCTGGAAGCAATCTAGATGCCCCTCAACCGAAGGGTGATAGAGAAAATGTGGTACATTTACACAATGGAGTACTATTCAGCAGAAAAAAATGGAATCTTGAAATTTGCAGGCAAATGGATGGCACTAGAAGAAACCATCCTGAGTGACGTAACCCAGTCACAAAAACAGAAACATGGTATGTATTCACTCATTTATGGATTTTAGACATGAATCAGGGGAGTGCCAGCATACAATCCCACTGCCAGAGAGTCTGGGAAACACAACCTTCATCCAGTGACTGATGAAAGCAGAGGCAGATACCCACAGATAAACACTGAACTGAACTCCTGGAATCCAGTGTTAGAAAGAGAGAACGGATGGGCAAAGGAGTTAAGACTGTGCTGGTTTAACCCACAGAAACAGTTGACCTGAACAAGGGGGGAGCTCTTGGACCCCAGATTGATGGTTGTGTGGAAAGCATGGGACTGACCCAGACCCACTGAATGTGGGTGTCAGTGAGGAGGCCTAGGTAATCTATGGGGCCTTGGGTACAAATAGACTTTAATGGATGTTCTCTCAGCCAGGACTCTTGAAGGAGGGCCTAGACCCTACCCTAGATGACATGACAGACTCTGGAGATCCACCATGGAGGGCCTCACTCCACCTGGGGATCGGAGTAGAGATTGGATGGGGAACTGGGGGGGCCTGGTGGGGAGGGCAGGGGAAGAGGGGAGAGGGAGCTGGGATTGACATGTGAAACAAACTTGTTTCTAACTTAAATTTTAAAAGGGGGGGGAGAAAAAGGCTTCACAACCCAAAGGTACTATAGGCACAGATATCCTAGTTAATATCAAACATTTCAAAGCTTTACTAAAAAAGACAGTGTCCAGGAATAGAGAATCCACTCAACAGAACACATCAGACCACTTGTGAATTTTTGTTCGTTCTTTTATTTCAGTGCTGGGGATGGAACACAGAGACCTTCCCTCCTGCTAGACAAGCTGTGTGTCGTGAGTTACACCCTAGACCCACGTGTGTGTGACTGTCCTGGGGGTCATGGGCTGGGAAGAGCAATGAGATCACCCACAGAAGGAGAGAAGCACTGCAGGCCAGGTGTCTCAGGGACTCTCGGGATCCCAGAGGACTCCTAGCAGGGACACTGGGGATGAAGAGGGCAGCTGGAACTAGAGCACAGTGTCCCCAAGTTGTCTGCATGCCCAGGGGAAGCACAGCCAGTCAGTGACCAGGGCAGGGAGCCGAGGGCTGCTCGCAGACCCAGAAGTTTTCTTCAGTGCATTTATTATCATTCCAGTCATCCATGAACAGCTCCACGCAGTCCTCGTCCCCATCATTGTTGGGCTCCCCTTCTTTCCAGAAGCTGCAAACATCGTCAGCCATCAGAGAGAGCCATCCTGCCCAGAAGCCACCCAAAAAGCCCCAAAAAAGACCTGGACAGGGTCCAGCCAGGCAGTGGACTTGCATGGAAGAGCTATAGGAAAATGTGAGTTTTAACATCGCCACAATGAGAGTCAGCCCAGCCGAGCAAAAGTGAGGACTCTGGATTTTGGACTTAAAGGTGGGATGAGGGGTGCCCAGGTCATATGGGGCTGTAGTTATTATGCCCTCTGCATGTTTTCAACAGTGAAGGCTGTGTTTAGAGCGAGAGCCATCTCCCTGCTGCCTACTTTCCGAGCCTTGGGTTATGCATGGTCACCTGAGCTGCAGGGGGGAGTCATCCACCCAATGCCAGGAGCCTTCCCGTCTGTGGTCACTGAGGCCGATCCAGGAGCGCTGGTTCTTCCTCACATTCCAGTATTTCATGAATCTCTGAATGCATGCAGCAGACAGGAGAAAGGTCTGTGACGCCATCCTCCATCCTCCATCCTCCATCCTCCATCCTCCATCCTCCATCCTCCATCCTCCATCCTCCATCCACAGTCCCACCCTTCCCTGCCTCCCATACAAGTTCTTTCTGCACTCAAGCCTAGTGCTCTTAGTCTAGTTGTGTGGACCGGCATGTGAATGCATGGCATGGGTGCAGGTCAAAGTGCATGCGTGTGGAAATATGTTCATTTATATTTCAGCTCATAGGTGTGTCCGGAGAGGGTAACACAATGTCTCGAAGCTCCTCCGGCTCCCTTCAGACCTAAACCCCCTCTCATGAGTTCCTCCCCTACAGGACCTCCCCACTCCATTGTGCTTCTTCCTGCAGGAAGCCCCGCCCCCGCCCCCACCAGACTGCATCCCCTCCATGTCCCACAGCCTCCTGTCTGGAATCCAATCCCCAGGATAAAGTAAGATGGCAGGACCTCTATGGGCCCACTCACCTGTTCTTCAACACTGTTGATAATCACCAGGTGGGCTCCAAGAGCCTGGCAGGAGGAGGCCGAGGCTTCCCAGCTGCCCAGGGTCCTGGAGAAGAGGTAGCAGCTTCTCTGGAAGAGCTCCCAGTCCCAGGGGCAGGGTCGGCACAGGCCAGCTGCAGAGCACACAGTGCAGCGGAGGGGGGGGTGCATGAGCTCAGAGCCTGGGCTTCTGTTTCAGCTACCAACTCGGTGGTCTCAAAACCCAGACTTACAGCCCCCGTGCTCTGTCCTGCCTGCCTCAGTGGAAGCCCCAGAAGGTGGAGCCAAGCCTCTGCTGAGCCCTCAGCTCCCTCCTAACTCAGACCCTGGAGCCTCACCCAGGGAGGCATTGATCTGAGTCAGCTGCTGCTGGATCTGCTCCAAGCTGGAGTGTGTCTGCTCGTGAGGAACAGCGTCTACAAGAAGAGGTTTGCAACAAGTAAGCACCGACTGTGTGCCTGATGCAGAGCTGGACCCACGGGACCACTGTTGGTGGTCACAGTGACCCCAGGAGCCCATGTCACATGCTAGAACACTGAGTCTCAGACCCCGTTAGTCCCAACACTGCCAGGACACAGGACCTCACACAGGTCCATGGCCTCCCACACCCTGCCACACACCCAGCATGCCTGTGCCCATGCTCGGTCACCTCACACAGCCTCAGAGCCCTCTCCCACGCAGAGCCCAGTTACCCCTCACCCAAGCTGGAGGTCCCCTGCTGATCCAGAGTCTGTCCCTGTGGGTATCCACGAATCCTGGAAACTGCAAGAGAGGAGAGCACAGCCACACCTTCCATGAGCACTGATGCTACCTGGCTGTGCCAAGCTCAGCTCCAAGGGGAAGCTGAGCTCCATTTCAGAGACAGCCAGCTGCCCCTGGTCACAGAGGACATGAGGGATGGGCAGCTTAGATGTCCCAGCTCTGGTGAATTTGGGGGCTAGGCAAGGATCATCCCAGAAGGAAAATCTTGATTTTCAGTTAGTGTTCCATGCTAGAGTTCTTCTTTAACAAGTGCAAAAATAAAATAGTAAACAAAATAAAAAACAGACAAAACCACACAAAAACAAAATAAACAACAATCTAAAAGGGTTCTGGCCAGGCGTTGGTGGCGCACGCCTTTAATCCCAGCACTCGGGAGGCAGAGGCAGGCGGATCTCTGTGAGTTCGAGGCCAGGCTGGAGACAGCCTCCAAAACAGAGAAACCCTGTCTCGTAAAACCAAAAATAATAATAATAATAAATAAATAAATAAATAAAAGGGTTCTGAATCCCAGTCCCCCTTCCCCAGCCCTGTCTGACCTTGAACCAGGATGGCCAACATCAGCACAAAGACACCCAGAGAGATGAGAAGCAGGAGAAGCCAGGGGACTCGGGTCACACATTCTGCAGGATGGGCAGATGGGCAGAGCTGAAGTCCCAGGGCCAGATCCTGCCCCGCTGTGTTCATTCTGCAGACGACCCCCGACACCTGTTCCCCTCAATCACCCCAGTACCTGGCATGCTCTTAGATCTGGGAATGAGACCCTCAGGGTCGTTCTCAGCAAATCCCTTGCCTCCAAATGTGTCCTCCTCCTCTGCATGGGACAGAACACAGCAGCTGACCTCCAAAGCTCAGTCATCTCCCTCAGCCCCAAGCTGGAGGCCAGACCCATATCACCCTGGATCCTGGACTCAGCTCCCCTGAGAGCACCCAGAGGTGCCCAGCCTCACCATGGTTCTTTGTCTGCCGGGGCTCTGGTTCTCCTGCCATCTTCTGCTTCCTCACTCCCCCCGCTCCACCTCCTCTCTGCCCTGGGATTTATATAACCCCATGGCCCTCTGGATCACCCCCGTGAGGTCCATTCTTCTCTGACTCAGGAGGAAAAAAAGGGGAACAGGATGGGGACAACCTCACCCCGGAAAAGTGTGTGGAGAGAAGCATTGCTTGACACAGCTGGAAGAGAAGGTGCTAGGGTGGGGGCTGGAGCTTGCTGGATATTTTAGTAGCAAGAGCTTGCAGCAGTCAGTGACAGTACATGTGCAGGCAGGAGTGGGGAGCAGTGAACAGAAGCATGTTAGTGGTCAGCTCATTTTCTCCTTTTCACCCAGTCTGGGATCCCTTGCCTAGGGAGTGGTGATGCCCACAGTGCTTTCTGACCTCGACTAATCAAGCTAATTCTCCCTAGACTTGACCCAAAGCCTGTCCCTGGGGTGATCGTAACCTCTGTCAAGCTATTCCTCTTCTATTCGCACCCAGTACAGGGACTTGCATCATCTCCAAACAGCATTTGAAAGCTGGGGTGAGCTTTGGTGATGATGCTGTCTTTGAGTCATTTCTGCTCCTGTGGGTAATGCCGCATCCATATTTCAAAGATAATGCCAATAAAACCTACTGGTTCGCCAAGGTGGGCTTTGGTGGTGCCCTTACTTTGGACGGCCATGGGTTTCCTGTCTGGAGTCACTTGTTCGCATTTCCCCAGGAATAGCGTCACAAAACGGTCCCACACAGGATATGTGTGGTGCTGGAACTGGAGCTCAGGGTTTGGCATGCTAGGCAAACACTCTGCAAACTGAACGACATCTTCAGCCATCCCCAAACCTGCCATTTCCTTGTTTGCCTTTGGAACAGGGTCTCCTACACATCAGTTTCAATTGAACTCCTGATCCCCCTCCGTTTCTGAGTGGTGAGATCACAGGCACATGCTACTGCCGCCAGAAAGCCTAAGTCTTAGCTAGTTGCCTGGCAGTGCCATGATTGGTAACGGAGAAAGTGATGGATTAATTGGATCCCATGAAAATTGATATGTCAACATCCTAACCCTGCAAAGTGACGTCATCAGGTGGGGACTGCGGATGGACAACTAGGTCCCAAAGGGAGGATCCTCACAAACAGAATTGGTGCCCTCATAAAAAGAACTATAATCTTTTACCAAGATGGAACCCAAAGCAGAACAGGAAGCTGCTGCCTCTCCCCAAACTGAAGCCAACACAAAACCCCTGAAAATGAGAGCCAGCAATGGGGCTGGAGAGATAGCTCAGTCAGTAAAGTGTTCGCTATGCAAGCGTGAGGACCTGAGTTCAATTTCAGGATCACCAGTTGGAGTCTATAACCCCAGCACTGTAGACTGGGAGGGTGGAGAGGAGGATGCCTGGGGCATAATGGGGTTTGGCAGCCATCCAGTCTAGCTGAACTGATAAGCCTCTCAGGCTCTGTGAGAGACTCAAAAATAGATAGGTAAATAAATGAATGAATGAATGAATAAATAACATAAGGGCCACTGACACAGCTCAGTAGGTAAAGGCGCTTGTTGCCAAGCCTGACAACCTGAGTTTGGTCCTGAACATTGAGGCCCTAGGGATTGAGCCCCACAGGCTGACAGGAAGTTCTGTATGGCCAGATAGAGAACAGAAAGAGTGTGTTCAGCCTGTTCATCATCGAGTTAACTGAGCTTCCTCACAGAGCATAGGTGAGAGGTGTGGGTGCTCTTCCTCACCCCAAAAGCCCTTACTCAGCATGAATGATGACTCCCCTCTTCCCTGGCCAATGTCCTCCAGCCTCTCCTCCAGGCCACCTGCGGATGAGGCAGAGGTGCATTCAGCCAGTGGAAGGGAGCAGCTGGGTACTGGGGGGAGGCAGGGAGGTGATGGTCTGGGGGAGGGGTATAAACAGTCAACAAACCCAGCTGGGGTGATCCTTTTGCAAGAGGGCATCACTGAACTCCCCAAGATGGCAGTGACTTGCTCAGAGGACAGTAAGTCACAGATGCATGAAGACCTTTCCAGAGGTTATCATCTTTATCAAACCAGAACTTTGGGGCTGTGGGATAGCCAAGCAGGTAAATGCCAAGCAGTCGCCGGGCGTTGGTGGCGCACGCCTTTAATCCCAGCACTCGGGAGGCAGAGGCAGGCGGATCTCTGCGAGTTCGAGGCCAGGCTGGACCGACAGCCTCCAAAACAGAGAAACCCTGTCTCGTAAAACCAAAAAAAAAAAAAATGCCAAGCAGTCTGACAGCCTGAGTCTGATTCCTGGAAGCCAAGCGGTAAAGGAAAGATCTGACTTTTCCTCTGTCTTCCACATGCATGCCACAAAACATAAATACACATATAAATGTAATTTTAAAAAACTTTTGCCAGCACTCAGAGGCAGAGGAAAGCAGATCTCTGTGAGTTCAAGGCCAGCCTGGTCTACAAAGTGAGTTCCAGGACAGCCAGAGATACACACAGAAACCTTGCCTCGAAAAACCATTTTTTTCATACCTTTAACTAAATAGGCTTACTTCTCTTGAGAAAACATGGTGGTGAAAAGTAGTGAAATAATCTATCTAATATGCTAAAAGAAACAAAACCACCAGTCAGAAAAATTATGTTTTCTGTCATGGAAAGAAATAGCTTAGATGAATTTTGGTTTTGTGGGTTGCATGCTCAGGTTACATGCAATCTGTGGAAGCCAGAGGACAACTTGCAGGCGTGGATTCTCTCCTTACAACTTGTAGGTCCTAGGGATTGGACTCCATCAGGCTTGGCAGCAAGCACCTTTACCCTCTGAACTAATTTGATGGTGCCTTTTTGTAGTTTTTCTCTGAATCGAGTAAAACAAACGGTAGTGGACTCGTAACAGTTCCCTTGTGAGCTGTCTAAAACAGGGAGCAGGCCTTCACCTGCCGAGCCATCGAGCCAGCCCCTAGATGAACTTTGTAAAGAGGAGGTTCAATGGTTTATAAACACAAGATTTAATGATAGAAGCCAAGCAGCAAAGACCACATCCTGTAAAAACAGGCTAGAGGGCACACTTTGTTTCTGCTGAGTCCCAGGTGCCCCCGTCTGCTCTAGGGGGCTGTTTCAACAGTGCAAATTAGACAACCTACCCCATAGCTCTGCCGGGATGACTTCACAGACATCAGAGAGATGACTGGATCTTCGAGGACAGCCTCCCCGGCTTAGCTGCCTTTCCCACTGCTGGGATAAAACACCCTGTCAAAGGCAAGGCAAGGGAAAGAGGCAGGGAGAGGGGTGCAGGGAAGCGGGGACCACCTTGTACCCCCAGCCAGGAAGCTGGGAGAACAATGCCGGCTCTCAGCTTGCTTTCTCCTTCCCTTAAGTTCAGGATGTCTGCTGCCCAGTGAAGACAGGTCTTCCCACCTGCATTAGCCTAATCCAGCTAAACCTTCACAGGTGTGCCGGGGCCATCTCCTAGGCGATTCTAGGTCATGTTGACACTGTTAACTATCACACAGGCTCCCTCACCCAGGGACCCGACACGAGTCAGTCCACCTTGTTTGTCTAATTGGAGCCTCGTTGCCCCCATTCACCCTGGATGCTCTGATCCCCGTGTGCTGCTAAGTCCACACAGAGCCTCTCTCACGGTCGTAGTTCTCTTCATATTTGTGATTTCTCTCCCTAGGAGAGCAGATGGAGTTGCTGGCAACAGCGCATCCTGCTGGCCTCAGCTGCTTGGAGAGCAGCGAAGAAAGCTGGTAACTCTGGGGGCTTCCCACGTTCGAAGCTCAGAGCTGTGAACACAAAGGGAGCTGTGGTTTACCTTCTTGCAATTTTTAAAATTACATGTATTTGTTTACTCTGTACATGTGCCACAGCAAGCACATGGAGGTCAGGGGAGAACCTAGGCGCGTCCATTATTTTCCTTACACCTTGTATGACCCGGGAATCATCAGGTCATCCGGTTTGGCAGCAAGCACCCTTACCCACAGAGCCATCATAGATGCCTGTTCGCACTTTTTATCTGAGCTGAATAAAATAAACCTTAATAGCATAATCCCCTTGGTGTAAATTGCCCAGAATAGGAAAATCAAGACAGACAGAAAATAGGTTTCATCTTCTGGGCCCTGGGATGAGGCAGTAATGATGTGTGAGAGTTAAGAGGATTTGGGTTTGCTTTGGGGGATGACAAATATCCTGCAAATAGATAGTTGCTATTCGTGTGACAGCAGGAACGTTCCAGCATCACTGGATTTTATACTATCAGTGACTGAAATACTGAATGTCAGGGTGCCAGCAAGATGGTTCAGTAGGAAAAGGCACCTGCCGCCAAGCATGACAGTCCAAGTTTGTTCTCCAGACCCACTTGGTGAAAGGAGAAGACTGCCTCCCACAAGTTATCCTTTGACCCCCACATGTTTACAGTGTGAGCATGTACACAGTCGCGTGCACGAGTGTGCACGCGCGTGCATGCGTGCGCGCGCGCGCACACACACACACACACACACACACACACACACAATTAATCTGTAAATGTAATAAAAAAAAACTTTAACCAGATGGGGCTAGAGAGACGGCTAGTTATAGCAATTGCTACAAGTTTGGTTCCCTGCACCCACACTGGGTGACTCACAATTACATGTTAACTCCAGCTCCAGGGGATCTGATGCCCTCTTCTGACCCTTGCAGACACACACACACACAGAGTAAATAAACTTTTAACGAAAAGGAGCACACCTGTGGTTGGGGAAAAAACTCTCAGTTTCAGTTTCTGGCTCATTTCCAAGAGGACTCACACATGGTACTGATGACCAGGGGCATCTCAGTGGAAACATGTTAGGAAAGACTTTGGATAGCATTTGAGATTGTGTTTGGTACTTTGGGGAAGGGTTCTAGATGCCATTTGAAAAAGAGATACTGTGTGCTCAAAACCCTAATAAATCAGATAGCTTGTCTTGGGGGTTCAGCTGCTATGATAAACACCATGAACAAAAGCAAGTTGGAGAGGAAAGGATTTATTTCAGTTTACAGCTTCTAGTCCATCATCCAGGGAAGTCAGGGAAGGAACTAACAGGAAACTAACACAGAAGCTGTGGAGAAGCGCCGCTTACCAGCTTACTCCCCGTGTTGTGGTCAGCCTGCCT